GTGGGTAAATGTAATAAAATTTTGCCAAAAAAAAAAAAAAAAAATCAGAACCAGAGATTCAGCACTCTTTCTGAAGGTGTGTATTAGTACCTCCTACCGTACACCACTGAAAACACAGAAAGCCGGAAAGTTCTGTCAGTGGTGGGAAAGCATTGTCTCATAAATGATGGAAAATTCTATCAAAATGTCAGGGAAAGAGTTTTGGTTTCTTTTGGCAATCCATCTTATGAACACTTGACAATAATTGTGGAACACACAGCACTATTTATACACGTATATACTTATTTATCTAACACACATACTTAGTTTACATTTCGAATTTTCACATAATATACCTGTACATACAAAACTGTCTATTGTAGTATACATGTACATACAATTGTCAAACTGTATATTGTTATGCCTTATTTACTTGTTCTATTTTTATTATCTGTGTTTTTGTCCTGTCATTGTCATTCTGTTGCACTGTGGAAGCTTCTGTCACAAAAACAAATTCCTCGAATGTGTAAACATACCTGGCAATAAGGCTCATTCTGATTCTGATTCTGAGAAGTTAATCTACTCTCCTGTCTGATTTGTGGTTACGGCTAGAAGGGATACTGCAGCTACTGGGCATGTGCACATCAATATAGCGTATTTTTTGTCACACTGTACAACAATACTGTTTTTGCATTATTGTTTAGGGTTGGGGTAGGTGTAGACGCTAAGAAAACACAATCTAACCACCTTTTCTGAACGCGGAAGTCTCTCCTGACTGGTACAGTGCTTTACATTTCCGGTCTCTGGGGTTTCTAGTCACAATTACATATTTTTTGAGCTGACAATATAATGTGAAACCTATGAAAATCGCTTTAAAAAGCACATGGCGCCATAGTTTCATCACTTTATAGTGTCGCAGTGACCGTCTTTTTGCAGTAAAGGACCTGTCATAGTTTAATGAGTGGGAAGATGACATGAAGCGAGGTTAGCTGCATTGAAAACAGATGAGCACACATGTGCATATACAGCTCCCGATCGGGGCAAAGTTCACGGGATTTTGTCCACAGAATGATAAGAGCACACGTTTTAACATTTTATTATTTAACACTCAGTATTTTAACTTAAGCGCTGCAAGCCATGCATACATTGCCGGACATGACCGATTTTCTGGTGCGCAAAACAAGTACTTTAAAGGGGTCATCGGATGCCCATTTTCCACAGTTTGATATGATTCTTTAGGTCTTAATGAAAAGTCTATAACATACTTTGGTTAAAATTTCTCAATGGTAGTGTAAAAAACACCCTTTTTACCCTGTCAAAATCAGCTCTGTTTTTAGCACGCCGTTCTAGTCCATGTTGCTTTAAATGCTAATGAGCTCTGCTGACCCTGCCCCTCTCTTCCGTGGAGTGATGAGCAGACTGTAAACTTCAGCCGCGAAACTGGCTAACTAGCACATATTAGGAAAGGCGATTTGCAAAGATTCATAAAAAAACCCTTATACTCACTTCTTCTGTAGATGAAGGTGGATCATGAATGATTCGCGCGAACTTAAACGCATTTAGGCAGATCGGGGATCTGCGCATTCCCTTCAAAAACTAAAGTAATGTTAATCCTCTGCGTCTTCAGCGGCTCAGATGTCGGGAGTAAATGACGACTGCTATGTTCATTATTACATCCAGCAACAAAACATCTCAATTGCTTAGCAGACATTTTTGTCTTCCCTTGCACAGGAGTCGACACAGTGGCGGACTGATGACAGCTCACTCAGGGCGGGTCTAAGGTAAGACGGCCTTGTCAATCAACTATCGTGGGAGGGGCCTGTGCAGAACTACGTCACTCTGACAGGAATCTCAGAACAACCTGATTCGAGAAAGGGGATTTTAAAATAGGGATTAGAAAAAAAAACACTGGGTGGATTTTTATCATTATAGGGTGGATGTGTACACACACTTCCAACACACATTTATGTTCAAACAACAACAAAAGTTAAATTTGCATCCAATGACCCCTTTAATGGAACCATAGATGCCAATAAAAGATTTTTATTTTTAAGAATCTACATTCAGGGTTGCCAGGTCTGCAGTTTTACCTTTACAAAAACATTATTTGTAATGCGCCTCCAATTATTACAAAGAGTATCAATTATTTATTTCTTCTCATAAGAAATAAAGTTTCAGCTTTTGAATTCAATTTTGTCACAAAATTCAATAAATGCTGTTTTGACGTTCTTGAATGTGACATGACAGATTACTGTAGGCGCTTCGGTTCAGGAAAAAGAAAACGTACTCGGTTACTAACGTAACCTTGGTTCCCTGAGATACGGGAATGAGTACTGCGTCTTGCTTAAGACGCATATGGGAAAAAGCCTTTTTTCTCCTGAACTGAAGCCTATTTCATTCACGCAGTGAAACTGCACGGCCATTGGTTCGTGCAGGGCTTTAAAAACGAACCAAGGGCGCGGCAGCGAAGCTGCACGAGCCTATGGCGACGAAGCCCGCCAGAATGGGCGGGGCATCTGGCTATATAAGCGGGCGCTTGCCACAGGATTCTCAGGTTTACTTCGACTGAAGCAACGACTGAGTCGTGCAGCTACATAGCATGGGCAGCAACGCAGTACTCGGACCCGTAACTTCGACACCCAGGGGTCGAGAGCTAACAGGTGAACAATACCAGAGAACTTGGGCGCGGCACGGCCAAGGGCTCTCTGTCATGTCTGTTTACGCAGAGCGTGCCATTTCAAGCGGAAAGGATTATAAACTTCCAGGTTATAAAACCTCGCAAATGTGGATGGCGAGGCCCAGCCGGCCACCTCACAAATATCCGCAATTGACACACCACTGGACCATGCCCACGACAAGGCGATGCCTCTAGTCGAGTGGGCCCGTACTCCAATGGGGCATTGGAGGCCCAAGGAAGAGTATGCTAGCGA